TAGGCTTGTTCCAAACAAGCCTTTGGAAGCTGTAAGTTGCTCTGTAAATAAGGCATGTGGTTACGATTGGGCTATCTCAGAAATGTCAAAAGAGAATTTGTCACTATTTGGATTTTAAAATTTTAGTGGCATATTAGTTAATGAGATAAATTAAAGCATAACTGTTATCACGCTGGTCATCTTATAGTAAAGACAAGTATTGTAACCTTTGAATTATCTCCAACATGGTAACACAGGAGTGGAAACATTCACAGAATGCCCAAGCTAAAAGTTGGGGGTTAGATGGAAGCCTTCGAAGGCCTAAAGCACTAATGCTATTTCTCTGAGAATCTGAAACATTGAAACCAGCAATCCTGTTTTTAATTTATTTGAGGGTACATGGAATGCAAATATCATAGGCTCCAAAAAGATTCCTAAAACATTCCATTCATTTTACACTAATTGATTTCATAGCTTTTATAATATATACAATGCTAATATAACAATTTAAATTTATGCTAACTTAAGATGTTTGGGAATGACATAGACACTTGTCATGTGGAAACCTCATTCCTTTTATCATAATTCTTTTTAAAGAGGGCCAAAGCAAGAAGAGGTAAATTGTTTTCTTCTTTATTTTTTTAGTGAAAATTATAGAGACAAAGAAAAATTAAAATTTCTAGTAAACTTTTAAAGTATAATGCCTGAGATTTGGTTTAATAGGTGAGACAGCAAGCCTGCCTAAGTGTTGGTGGGACCTCTCATATCATAGGAGGGTCTTATTTACATAATACAAATAACAATAACTACCATTTGGGTGCTTACTATGTGCAAGACAGTACTTGAATTCATAATCATACTTGATCTTCTCAACGATATTGTGAGATAGGAACAATCGTAATTTTATTCAGCATCATACAGTTGGGGTAATTGAGGGACGAGTTAAAATTTAAGTCATATGAAGTGACCTTGCTCCTCCCATTGCAGATTTGAATTCAGGTGGTTAAGATTCAAGAGGGGGTGCCCTTAACCTCTAAGCAGTGAGTGAAGAAGCAGAACTTCACCCCCTCTCAGCTCTTGGCCCTGATAGACTCTGAGATGTCAATTTTAGAGGGCATCAACTCTTTATGCTCTTTTTTTTTTTTTTTTAAAGAAATATGCTGCTCACACCACACATCAGCAAGTGTAACACGATGATGATCATCTTAAACAAGAGGTCAGAATATCTGCTAGTACTCACTGCTTCCAACTGGAGCCACATCTTTAATGACATTTTCTCATTCTTGTTTTTCCACTCAATTTTTTATTTAGAACAAATTTCAGATATACAAAAAACTAAACAAATAGTAAAATGAACCTCACATGCCTTCCACCCCGATTCAGCAATGCCAAATTTACTTTTCCCCCAAATTTTCTCTTTCCTCCCTCTCCCTCTCTCTATATGCATATGTACTTCCCCTCTTCCTTCCCATTTTCTTCCCTCCCCTTTTAAAACTAAGTTGCATGCCTCATGACACTTCTAAACACTCTGTAAGCCTATTCTGACAATTAGGACATTATTTTTGTAATCCCAACATCTTTATCACAGTTAAGAAAATTTATAAGAATTTGTTCTTTATATCACCTAATATTCAGTTTATATTAAAATTTTCAGGATAGACCAACTGTCCCCAAACCCCCTCTGAACTAGGATCCAGTTAAAATTCATGGTTTGGATTTATTACTTTTAATTTAGAAAACTCTTTCCACATTTTTTTCTAAACACCTCATTCAATTCTGACACTGATGCCTTGAAGAAGGCCCCACGAGTCCCGTTTTGTAGAATTAGAAACTGAGGTCAGAGTGGTGAAGACATTCACCCAAGGTCACAAATCTGGTAAGTGACAGAACCAGTATGAGGTTTTGATCTTCTGGGTTTTAATTCCATCTTTTTGGTGACATCATGATAGATTGCAAGGCCAAGGAAGTGGTGACCACTGACAGTGTCATCGAAAACTGACTTTGAAAATGTGGGTAATGGAAATAGGTGAAGATACTAATACACACATTTCAACACAAGTTGCTCCTTTTGCAAAGGTTTATTTCTAATTAATATCATAAATGGCATCAAAATCCAGCCATCAGTGCCCAGCTATTCTTTCTTGCATTAAGTATAAATATGATTAGTATGTCATTTCATTGCTGAGTAACCACAATGAAAGTGACTAAATTCAGAATTAATTTTCTCATAGATACTACTATGTCTGAGTTTATTTTTTTATATCCACCTTTAAAACCATAGCCCCTTGCACAAAGCCATATGCCTTTAAAATAGAAATCCAGTTAATAGTCACCAATTTGATTAGGTGTCCTAACAGGCCAGTTTTGCAAATGGTTTATAAACCTCGTAAGACCAATCAAAATTCATCTTGTAGGTGCTCAGTAAACATGTGTAGTGAATAAATGAACTTGTGGGTTAGCATTTTCATTAGTCCTGTGTCATTTTCTAGAGTTATCCTTGACTCTTTCTAGGCCTTCTACCATCTACTTTGACTTCACTGCTCTACCAAGTTTGTGTAGTAATTTTCCTATAACATACAATAATTATCCTGCAGCATATAATAGCCTATAACATATAATAAATATATAGTAAATAAAGTAAATATATACTAGGTATAGTATTAGAATTTTCTCACATAAAAAGAACAAAGAGGGAGGAGAAAAGAGAGGAAGATTTAAAAATTCACATTTAGGACCACTTTCATATATCTTAAGCTTTGGATATGACTGCTGTTTTTATGTCTATTGAAATCCAAGTCAGAGTTTCCAAAACAATTTGTGAAAAAATTCCTCATTTATTGTGCCTTGTAGTTTCATTTATAAGTAATGAAA